AACAGAAAAATTAGCCAGGCATTGTGGTGAGCGTCTAGAGTCCCAGCTACTTGGGAGGCTGAGGTAAGAGAACCACTTGAGCCCAAGAGTTTGAGGTTGCTGTGAATTATGACACCACAGAACTCTACCGAGGGTGACATAGTAAGACTCTGTCTCAAAAATTAATAAAATAAAATAAAATAAAAAAATCACCCACTTCATACAGTTGATTTAAATGAATTAAAGTATAAAAAAAGGCATCAAATTAAGCCCTGGTATATTATAAGTGATTTTCCAAACAAAATACAAAAAAACAGCAATGTCTATCAGCTTTGTCTTACCAGACTTGAAAAACACATATTATATTATGCATTAAAAAAATTTCTCTTCTTTTCTTTTTTTTTTTTTTTTTAATTTGAGACAGAGTCTCAAGCTGTTGCCCTAAGTAGAGTGCCATAGCATCATAGCTCACAGCAACCTCAAACTTGGGCTCAAACGATCCTTTTGCCTCAGTGTTTCTATTTTTAGTAGAGACACGGTCTTGTTTTTGCTCAGGCTTGTCTCAAACTCATGAGCTCAAGCAATCCACCTGCCTCAGCCTCCCAGAGTGCTAGGATTACAGGCGTGAGCCACCGCTCCTGGCAACATGAAAAAATTTTGGAAGCAAAGAAACAGAAATAATAGCTACACCTGGCTGGCAATGGATATATGGCGGGGGGGGGGAGATTTTATTTCTTTGTTCTAGATTTTTCTATACTTTCCAAACCTTCCATAAATAGGAATTGCTTTCATAGGAATACATTTTTGAACACAGAAAACTTGAAAGCTTTGGAGATACCCCCAGCAGCACCATCCCTAGTTGTCATGTTCCTTGTCCTGCTGACCCACCTGGGGTGCCTTTGCCAGGTGAGGAGGGGAATGGGATTTTGTGGGATCTTCAGGCCTCTGCCCACCCAATCTACTAATAAAGAAAAATAAACCTCAGTGGCCTCACTGGATGGTAGAGACGTTGGGCCCCTTCTCTGCCTTCTCCTCTGGGGAGTCCTCCCTGATTTAACCACCACCTAAGTGTACATAATCCTTGGAGCATTGTCCAGTCCTTGTACTACCTCATTTCATTTCCCATATTGCCCCGAGAAGCACAGCACACAAGCCCCTCCACCACTTCCCACTCTCGTCACATTCCAGTGGCTCAACACTAAACAAACCCAAGCCCCTTCTCAGCTTGGAGACTTTGTCTCTGTCCTGCTCCTGCCTAGAATATTTTGTCTGCCTCCACCCACTTCTTTGCCTATCTCTCTTTTCTTTTCTTTTTTTTTTTTGAGTTAGAATCTTACTCTGTTGTCCTGGGTACAGTGCCAAGGTGCCATAGCTCACATCAACTTCAAACTCTTGGGCTCAGGTGACCCTCTTGTCTCAGCTTCCCAAGTGGCTAGGACTATAGGCACTCACCACCTGGCTAGTTTTTTAATTTTAGTAGAGATGGGCTTGGAGAGTCTTCAAAATCAAGAACTGGGCTCGGCGCCTGTGGCTCAAGCGGCTAAGGCGCCAGCCACATACACCTAAGGTGGCGGGTTCGAATCCCCAGCCCG